AAATTCGCCCTTCCCTTTCTTCTTCGCCACCCCCGCTCACGATACTCTCTGTCTTCGGCCTGCGCAGCGCCGTCGCTAATTGTAGCTACCCTGCGGAAACTTTGAAGGAACCGAGCTACTAGGCGGCTTGGTAAGTGTTTTCGGCCCTATACCCAGATCCGACGAATGATTTGCCTAGCAGTCTCAGCGTGGGCCACCACCCGATTTTTTTTTCTCTGGCCTTACTCCGTTCAAACACAAATCACCGACTTTCGGGTCAGTCGGGCATGTTCACACTCAAAACTCTCACAGCAGGTTGTGGGTTGGTGGGCGGTATACCTATAGTAGGGCCCTTGACTGCAAGGCCTCCACACAATCAGCCAATTGCGGACTCGAGAGTGCGGCCTCTGCCAAAAAAAAGGTCCCTTGTGACCCGCTACTTACCACATGCTTTCCCTACAGTGCCCTGAGCCACCTGCAATCCCGTTTGTCGTGTCCCAACAGGCATGCTCACACTCAAAACTCTCATGGTAGATCGCGGGGGCGGATCATAATTTCGCTACGACCCCCGCCACTCTCACGCCCGTTGACCTTTTCGGTCTGACTTTCCACGACGTGGGTAAGGGAATTCTGCCTGTACCCCAAATATGTGGGAGCCCGTAGGTCAACCAATGAAGGTGCTCGCTCAAGGTCCCCAACTGCCGTGATAGCCCCTAAATTCGACGTCGCGTCCAAGTCAAAGGGACGCCGGAGCATAAAAATAATAATACGACGTCAAATGATAAAGTATCTAAACTTTTAACCGCCAGAATATAACGAACGAGAGAAAAGAGACCGCTAGTACCGTTCTGACGCCGCCAACGGCGAAACCAAGGTGGGTAGCCCCGCCGGATCCTTAACCACTCGGTCCCTTCGCGCCACTCTGATATCCCCGCGATGTCGCCGCTCGGTCTCGATCCCTAAATCTCTCTCATGAAAATTTGACGTTGTATCCAAATAGGGCTAGGCCCAAGTCTGCGTCTAGTTCTGACGGACGTCTATATACGCGGATACTGCACAACGCGTAGATCTACTGAGACGTTTTCAAAACCACATTGTCGTCGACGTCGTCCTCCGCACGTTCACACAAGTCCCAGGCAAGCGCACCAATCGAGAGACGAAAAAAAAAAAAATCCTAATTTAATCAGAAATAAAACGTGGCCAGCAACTACGCAGGCCTTTCAATCATCAACAAAAGAAGAAATCACACGCGCCTTAAGTCTGCGCGCCCACACACACTCTAATCTAGTCCACCATCTAGTCATTGTAAAACATAGACACAACCGCGCCTCGCGTGGAATACTCAAACTTATTTTTTTGTTGCTTACAAAAACCAGGGCAGATACCCTTGTAAGGGTATTTGCACCGACAGCGGTAGTCCGGCTCAGTCTCTGGAGACTCCTTAACTCTCTTAAGAGATCACCATAAATAGGGTCCTGTGCATATGCCTCTTTGACTTTCTGTTGCAAGCCTTTCCCTATATCCAGATAGTTAACTATCGCTCCAAAGTAATCATCTCTTCTACTTAAGAGCATCCGCAACTACATTATATTTCCCTTTCACTGGCTTAAGCTCAATGTCATATTGATCTATCTGCGCGGCCCACCTAGTAAGCTTAGGTGTCATCGTGGCCTGTCTTCAACCACCTCAATATCTCCTGGTCTTAAACCACTAGTACCTTTCCCGCGTGGGAAAATAGGGAAAACTGGTTGTTTTCCCAAACTCCTAAAGATTCGAAGGTCGGACCCGACGACGACTGCCATTGATAAATCTGATCGGCGGCCGTCGTTTCGTTTCGACCTCTGAAAAGGTCGGTGGCCCACCGGAGGCCCGCTATTTTCCCACGCGCCAAAGGTACTAGTGGTTTAATAGACTTTGAAGTGCCTCCCAAGCAAGTAGTGCTTCCAGTGATCTAATGATTGCCTGAGAGCTTAGAGTTCCCTCTCATAGGTCGATGTCGCTACCTTCTTTGAAGGCATCCTTGCAGACATGAACTCTACGGGTCTATACCCATTGCCATCATCTTGCTGTAACACAACACCTATCCCATACTGACTTGCCTCAGTGGTGACAACAAAAGGTAAAGTTGGATCAGCTACCTTGAGGACTGGATACTCCATTAAGGCCCGCTTTAACTTCTTCAGGGCTGATGTAAAGTCTTTATCCCACTCCCAGATTGCTTCTTTCTTTAACAACCTGCGAAGGGGTGCAGCGAGAGTAGAAAAGTTCCTCACGAACTTCCTATGGTAATTGGCTAGGCCTAGAAACAACCATAAGTTTATCGATGTGTGGGTCATAGGTCAATCTCCGATCGCTGCTATCTTACTATCCTCAGGTTTTATGTCGTCTCCATCTAAGACGTGGCCCAAGTACAAGAATTGTGTCTTGGCCCACTCGCACTTCTTTGCGTTGATCTTGAAGTTGGCTTCTCTGAGATTCTCCAAGACCTGCCTCAGATGGCCCTCATGCTCCTGAAGGGTCTTACTAAACACTAGAATATCATCGAGATACACTACGACGAATCTATCTAACCACAGCCTAAACAGATCATTCATACAGCGCTGGAATGTAGATGGCGCATTGGTTAGTCCAAAAGGCATCACTATAAACTCGTATTGCCTGTATCTCGTCCGGAAGGCCATCTTATACTGGTCATCGGGATGGACTTGTATCTTATGATAACCAGATTTCGGGTCTATCTTAGAAAAATACTTGCAGCCCTGCACCCAATCTAAAAGATCATCTATACAGGGCGGTGGTTCTGCATTCTTTACTGTGACGACGTTGAGACCTCTATAATCTATACACATTCTAAGCTCTCCCTCCTTTTTGGGGACAAAAAGAACAGGTGCTCCAAATGGAGATGAACTAGGCCTAATCCAACCCTTCTCGAGGAGCTCATCCAAGACCTGTTCTTCTAATTGCTCCTTTTTACTAAACGTGCAAACGCGGGAGCACTGAGACAGCAATGTGCCCGGGAGTTGTCTACTCCTGACACATGGAACAGGCGCGCATTCTTTACTTCGCCTAATGGACTAGGGAGCCCACACTCGTGCTCTCTCAAGTGGAGTGTGGCCCCTGCTGCCTCTCCCCAGTCCATTCCAAAGACCATGCCGAAAGGAAGGTTGTCCTCTACGAGGAGAGGCAGGGAATGGAGAACTTGCTCCACCTTCCCATCCTTCTCTAGGCGAAAATACGCCTGGACTCCCTCAACGTCATCCTCGACTCGCATAGTGCGATTGTCTGCGAGGATAGTAGCCACAGGGCCTTCTAACTTTTGGACCTTCAGATTTAACTTCAGCTTCTGCAGCGCTTTTCTACTAATATAGTTGTGAGTGGCCCCACTGTCCATAAGGGCCTCTACTCTTCCTCTAAAGACCTCTAAGGACCTTCTGGAAGTTTGCGGACTTGGCCTTTCAAAACTGTAGTAGCTACGACCTTGACCTTTCAGGACTGTAGCAGCTACGACCTTGACCTTTCAGAACTACAAAAACTACGACCCCTACGCAGTTGTGACCCTACTTCGACAGGTCTACGGTTCGAGACCCTACAACTTCTCAGACCTACGACAGACAACTTCAACTACTAACACACAGGTCACGGGTTCAAGACTCACAGGGTCGACTCGATGCTGTACACAGATAAGGTAAGGTAAGGTGAGGTCTGGATCCGCATTTGCATATGCAAAAGAGGTGAAAATCTTTTCACACAGCTACCTCCAGCATGTAATCATTACAACCTACAGGAACAGACCATATCACCCCAGACCTAAACACAAGTCACATCCAGACACAGACTCAAACTTCCGCATGGATATATGCGGACTTTTAGGGAACATCCCAACCATCTGGATAACCAAACCTCCGCTCTCTGGACAACAACCCGGGTGTTCAAACGTGTCAAGCCCTGTACCAGGCCACACACTGTCGCTCCCTCCCCCGCTCTTCTCTCTCTCTCTCTCTCTCTCTCTCTCTCTCTCTCTCTCTCTCTCTCTCTCTCTCACACACACACACACACACACACACACACACACAC